ACAGGAAATTATGTTTGTTGCTTATATTTTTTTCTTTCTTTGTGCCCTTCAGCGGTTACTTCCAGGACCTTTCCGCATGAATAGCGATTTCTTTCAGCGTGGAGCCCAGCCATTTAATTCATCCTACCTCCGGATCGTTCTGAGGGGTTTAAATACTGCTGTTTGGATAAAAATTCACAACGTGGCAGATAGTGGTGGTTCCTTCAGTTCACCGGAGGAGGACTGGGTGGTTTACTTTTCGTCTAGAACCACCGGAGAGACAGGACAGAGCTGTAGCCAGTAGGGCTTCTATGTCAAAAAATACATCTTGCTTAACCCATGTCTAATTAACTGGCCCATGTAGTGCTCGCTAGTCAAATGCTCCAGGGCCTCCTTAGCTAAGGCTATCTCTAGGGACCCTCCCCCCAGCCACCGCCCGGGTATGACTATCCTTAAAAGCATTCATCTTGGTTATATGACTGTTCCTGAAAGTCCCGCCTGTCCAGTAAAGATAGATTTAATTTCCAGTATCCAGTCATTCTAGGCCTACAATCTAACGCCACTCGGGCACAAACAAGTTTGTGGTCCGAATAGCCTAACCAGTGGAACGTGGGACAATCTAGTAAATCTACATCGGATCCTCTAACAAACATTCTATCCAGGTAGCTAATCACCCGGGTAGAAGGCCAAGTAAGAGCCCACGCCTACACCTACCCCCGGGATGATCGACCCAGTATCTATCGACGTGACCAAACTCACCGATCAGATCAACCAAGCTACTATCTCCTGCCCTCCCGCTAGATCCTCGCCCCCTATCTAACTTGGGGTTCAGGACGGCATCCAGTCCGCCATTAAGACTAGGCGCGTTGAATCCACCCGGAACGGTCCCAACCGCCGAAAAAACGACACCCGGTTGTTGGTCGCATAAACCACAACGACTCAAAATGAACCACTTTTCACGGCAATATCGGCCACGATCAACTAGCCCTCGGCATCGACATGAACAAGGTCCACCTTTGCATCCAGGGTACGGCTAACCAGCTTTAAGATTTGTCCCTCTGGCCTGTCGGGTCCCCATATGCTGAATAAACGGCAAAGTCTTTAGACAGCACACACCTTATTTGTTTGCAAAGTGGGTCTCTTGGATCGCGGGCGACATCCACTCGATTTTAAGAGGTCACGGAGCAGGCGGAAGCCTTTACCCGATCCCTCAAGTTAGATATTCAGACTGGCTATTTGATTGACATGTTTTAAGCCTGAAATTAGAAAAAATAAAAATTAACCTACTCACATACCAAGCGAAAATCTGCTTTGGTAAGGACCCCGACGCCTTGTCCCAGGCTGCCCGCACCTAACTCTGATGTCATCCGTCCATCCAGGACAATTCCGCCGATGTCCGTGGAATAGGTTAGTTTTACTGTTCTATATAGCGAGGGATGGAGCAAGGGACCCATCCAGCACAATACTGCTTTCGTTTCTTCAAGTATGGAGATTCAATGTTGAAGACCCTAATCTCCGGGAATGCGTCTTTTGCCTCAAACAGGTGACTCCATACTTTGAGGTAGCCCCCAGTGTCCCTCACACTTTTCTTTTAGGCTGATCACGATACGTCTTCTGTTTCCTTATTTATTTGGTTGTTGTCACATGACAGGCTCCATTTTTATTCAAAATCATTGGCGGCAAAGCCTGATTTGATAGGCGTCTTTCATATTTATTATTATTTAGCCAATCAGCGATTAGAAAAATAGCAAGCTCTGTGTAATCCACCTTTTGCACAAATATTTTCACTTTTTTAAGAAGACATATAGTAATTGCATTATTTTTTAACCAATGATTTGTTGAGAAGAAATTTAAAACTGAAGTGGAACGCTAAACAACTGTTTCTATAACAAATTTAGACCAATTTAATAAAAGCAAAAAGAATTCATTAGTTAATAAAGCTTCAGTCCCACAAAGAAACAATACTTTTAACTGGAAAAAAAGGAATTTATACCACAAAAAAAACAACCCCCCCCAAAAAAAAAAACTATTCATTTAAAGCTTCATAAATTACATTTTAAGGTGAGATTCTGTTTCATTAGCTATAAGCAGATTTATAAAGACAATATTGTCTGGGGAATATTTTTGGAAAAAGGGTTCAACCATAACATTATCATTATATTTATTAAAGCTTTCGATTGTTTCTATAACAAATTTAAACCAATAACTCCACGAAATCGCTAAAAAATAGAGCATAGTCTGATGAAAAAGACGCCAAACTTTATGAAAACAAAATTTTATCGTCTAAATGCTTATGTTTTTATGAAGAGGAAAGACCAAAATTTTTCCTTCTTTTTAGAACATTCTAAATTTTGATTAAAAACATCTTGTTTCTCTTTGTTGCAACAAGGGGTAGTAAATAACAGATAATTTTTAGCGCTTTTTTTTTTTTGTATTACACACATTAATTTGGAAAATCTAGCAAAAATAAAAATAATTGTCAGATGTTAATGAAACTTTCAGAAACTATTCCAGATGATCGAAATTATTATAAATATGTTTTTTTTTTTTTTTTTTTTTTTTTATCAAAGTCATGGTGGAAATATTTTTTTTTTATATTTATTAACACCCCCATAACTAATTTTATGAAAAACTCTAGAAATTCGAGCGCATCGGGTTTAGTGATTACAATAGTTAAAAGCACAAGGCTTTGAAGAATGCAAATCATGTTTTTTTTTTTTTTTTTTTTTTTAATTGGCTCCACGGTACCTGAAAATCAGCTCTGAATTGTAACATACAAAACTCAATAAAACAAATATATTATTTAATTTCAAATGCTTTTATTTGTTTTTAGTTGTTTTTATGAATATGGGCAATATTTTCTGAAAGCCAAAAAATTTTTCAATGAAAATTGAATTTTCAATACAATTATTTGTTATTTCTTTAATTATAATAGATTTTTACATTAAGTTTTTTTTTAACATTAGTTAAAAGCAACGTCAACCTTTCAAAGTGTCTGTATGAGATTGTCATTGTCTAGCGCTTTGAAAATTGTATCATTTGGACCAATCAGAAGATCCGAAGTAATTAAGAAATGTAATTTTTATGTTTATAATCGGGCAGTAATTATAAAGTACGGAAGACCAACCAGAATACAATTTAGTTGCATTATTTGAGTTCAGCATTGTTCTCCGCTGTTAAGGCCTTTACTTTTGCGAAACACGTGTGGAGAAGTTAATTTGAGTTTTCAGTTTCAACTGAGAAGGGTACCTATAAGAATCAGTATCATCTTATGAAATTTAACTACTGCTAAACTTTAATTTATATGATCTTATTTTTATATTAATCTCAGTTAAGACATTTTTCCATAAATGAAATATCAAAATTAATAATAAAATGAATGGAAATACAAATAACACAGTAAAATGTAATAAATGTACATAAAATTATAGTATTTTATGTACACTTCTGATAAAATTTCATAAGAAAGGTACCTATAAATTAATTAGATACCTTTTTCTTATGAAATTTAATCTCACTCTTAACAGTCTTATTTTTTAATTTCTTTATATTTTCCATAAAGCATCGTAAACGTAAAGATGAAAGCTAAGTACAAAAAAAAAAAAAAAAAAATTAGAGCGCTGAAAGTTTTCCTTAAAAGTAACGAGGTAAATAATTTGTTCACTTAAATCTAAATAATTTCACTTCCTTCCATCCGTAGAAAGAATTATCCTCCCGTAAGTTATCTAAACGTCATGTATCTGTCTTTCGTCACCTGTCAAATGACGTGAAAGGTTATGACCTGCTTTGTTTTATTTTCAAATTACATTTCTTCCGCGCAGAAGCTAAGTTAAGCTTGGTTCAAAATATTTTAAATAAACATTATAATTTCTGATTCTATTAAAATAAGTTTTGAAAAAATGATAATTGATTTTTAAAAGAATATCAAAGTCAGATTTTCATTTTTTTCCATTTTATAAAAAAATAAAATGGAAAAAAATGATTGAAAATGATGGATTTAACTTTATCTATCCATTTTTTTGACAAAGAAAAACAATATTTTTAACGAAAATTTCAGACGTGCTAGGAACGATTAAAAAATGTAAAAAATACCCCCAAAATACTTTGATCTTTCCTCTTTAATAATAATATGAACATTAGTAGACGATAAAATTTTGTTTTCGTCAAGTTCGGCGTCTTTTTCATCATGCTATGCTCTTTTGTTTACATTTATTTCCTGGAGTTACTTAAATAATTTAATAAAAAAGAAAAACTATTCATTTAAAACTTCCTTAAAAAAAGCGTATTTTAAAATAAAAAAAAAGCGTATTTAAAATAGCTACGCGAAAATTGCGCAGTAATCAAGACGATTATTTTTTTTTACTGCTTTTCATATTAAGATATGAAAAGCAGTAAAAAGGCCGTTAAGTAAGCTTCCGCGCATTATTACTCGAGGCAACCGTATGTAAACAAAGCCAGTAATGGCGGCCGGACAACGCAAAAGAGATCGAACTGACATTGACAATAAACGCCAAACGGTAATCAAGCGCAATATTTTATGTCATTTTCGAAATAATCAGTGAATTTCACATCAAAATGGTACATTCTCATTACCGGGAGCTTTTGGTGCTTATACTGCAAATTTACCGAACTGCAAAGGATTTAAAATTTAAATACTAACAATATTAATATCATAAATAAAAATAAAATTTTAATAAAATTCTAAATTTTTAACTTAAGTTTATTATGTGCATAACTGGTAAATTAATTTCTGTTCATGTGAAGCCCTTCCTTTAGTTTTTTTGTGTTTAACGTTCGTTCCTTCAATGTAAATCTCGCGAGAAGTGAAGCAATTTCTATCTTACGAAATCAGAGAGCGGTAACAGGTAAGAGAAAAAGTGGTGGCCCTGAGCTGTTTAGGCTTCTGCAGCACATATTTCACAAAGAGTTTAAAGAGAGAGAGAGAGAGAGAAAAACTAAACACAAACCCAGTTCTACTTTTTATTCATTATTATACTGGAAAATAACTACGGCAAGACCAAATGGATACAATCCAACCGTCCGGCAAAGTAGTTAGCGGTACGCCGCAGCCTTTCGCGATTCCAGCCTATGTCTTGGACGACTTATGCAGGTTTGCTTTTCTTTTATTTTAACAATAACAAATCAAATAAACAGAAAATACTGTTTTTGTTTTCAGCCTTCTTATCAATAATTATTTTTTTTAATTCTTTTAAAATATTGTTTTCATATTTCGATAAAAAATCGGCTTCATTAAGTGAAATTTGTCCTTGTTAGTCTGTTTTTTTTTTGTTTTTTTTAGTGAGAAACAAAAAATGATTTATTTTTTTGTATGTTTTCCTTAACAGTTTTATTGTGAAGATTTATTAATAAGTGTTATAAACTTAAAAGGTAAATTTAATGGAGTGTTTAAATCTCAAAGTTTTGTAAACAAGCTCAATCTTTTACTTTTTAAATTACAAAATAAAAAATGCGTGACCGTTCTTCCTTTTTTAAGGGAGTTAAAAAAATAAATGAAATGATTCACTGAGTTTCACTGTTATTTGCATTCTAATTTGTTTTCTGTTTATTGCCATTGAATTTCTCTTCTATCACTAGAAGAGATTTTATATTGCAATATAATGCAGTCATGCAATTTTAAAAAGTTATTCGAAAATAAAAACTACAGTAAATTTTAACTACACTATTTAATGTTTAATATCGACCTTTTCTTTTAATCATTTTAAATTACATAAATTAAATATTATTTCATGATAAAACCTTTTTGAAAATTTGACCAAATGCTTACAATCGTTATGACTTTAAAAAGAAATATATTTTTATGTGGTTCTGGTTAGCGTCCTATGAATTTTTTAATGTCTTCGTCAGTTTATTAAAAAGATGAATCTACTTTAAATTTGATTATTGTCATGTCATTTTACAGCAGAATCGGTTAAAAACAAATTGCTGTTCACTGAACAATAGTTGATTCGGTATGTGTACTGTTAATAAAACTGTTTTGTTACATACTTCTCATCAAATTTCTTGCGAAAATTTACTTTTTAACAATTGTGTAGTGGTTCATAGTTTCTAAACAAAAAATTGGAAATTTGTTATTCGGTTTACGGCGTACGCTTATTATTTATAATATTTTTTTGTTTTAATATGTTTGTTTTTTTTTTGGCTTTAACTTGTAGAATACAACTTTCCTCCAGTCTATCTGCCTCATTACTTCGTTTTGTTGTAAAAATCTAGCTAGATCTTTAAAACCTATTCATTCAGAGTATTCTCTAAATTCCAGTTATTGTTTCATTCGGTGGAAGAAAATACTGGGAAAAATATCATATTGGATGACATTTACAATGTACATGAAACTGAAAGTCTAGGGATTAAGAAATTCTTGAAATTGATTATATTGCTCTTGCTGTGTTGTAGATTGAAACTAAAAACTTCTCACAGTAAAAGTTTTGTGAGGTATTTTATGCTAACAAAAGAAAAGTTATTGGTACCTTCTCTAACAATAACATTCTGTCAAGGTTTGCTAAGCTAATCGTAGCAATGTTAATGGAAAGATTATTTTCACTGTTTTTAAATTAATCTTGAAACAAAAAGCCTAAAAAGTAATTCTCTTTACTTTTTAAAAACATTTTTCTTGCGCGCCAAAAATAGGTATTATAAATTTTGTAAAATAAAAAGAAAACATATATAGAATTTAATTAATAAAATTCCATTTCCAATGATTCGAACAAAAGTTAATAACGATACATAATTGTTCCAAACAGTCATTTTGACAACTGGCAAATAGCCTCAAAGTACACGAGTACAGAATCAAAAAGGAGACTTGTTGCCAATTTTGTTTTGTTTTTTGCTATGTTTGAGTTTACACTTTGAAAAAATTTTTTAAAAATGAACCACAAATATTCACAAATCTTATATCAATGATTTAAACTTGCTAAAATTTCCTATACTAATCTAATCTGTGGTATCCCCACTGTGTACTGACGCAAGAAAAACAAGAACCAAAATGTACGTTCTAAACCAGACAAAACAAATTTTACTAATTAATAACTTTATCATGAAATAATAAACCAGCTGATTTTTCTCAATCTTTCTTTCTTTTATTTCTTTTTTTTTTTTTTTTTTTAATTAATATTTTAGTATATTTTTTTTCAGCCGTTTCATCATTAACATACCACAAGAAGAACGTTTGAATCCTATCCGCATCTTTTTCCAAATAGAGCTTGCCCATTGGTTCTACCTTGATTTTTATTGTATTGAAAATCCTGAATTACACACTTGTGGCATAAAAGACTTTTCCTCCCAAAGTATCCTTTTAGTTTCGGAGAAACTTTGATAAACAGTCACAAAACATTTCTCTATTTGATTGAGACATTTATTCACTCTATGCATTCAGACTTGTTATTTTTGACATTAACCAGTAATCATTTCCAATAACAATGTGTAAATTGTTTATGAAATTCTTACCAAAATGTTTGAATCTTTCATTTGTTTATGAAAATTATCAAGGTTTATTTTGTGTTAACATGATTACAAATAATTTTAAAAGTGTATAATACAGTATGTATGGTGACTAGATACCAACTTGTTTCAGAATGTAATAAATATGAAGAAAATCATAGTGTTTGCTTTTTGGAATTTTTCATTGGTTTTACTTTATAGAATATAAAGATTTCTTATACCCATAAGTTCTATTTTTCTGTACAGTGATATAGTTTATCACTTTTAATCTGACATTAGGTTTCTATAAACTTGGATGGCAGGTGAATATTTCCCTCCTAAATACATTGCCATATGTGCTTGGAGAATGAAATTATTAAAAATTGTTTATGAATTGATTATGGATTTTTTCCTTTAAAATGTATACAATTTAAGTTTTAAATTAATGAGATCCAGTATTTTCATTTTAAATAATTTCTTTTGCATCCCAAATTCTCAAATGAGGTTAGGGGGCTCTGATACCCTTTAATTTGAATTTGATACAATATATCAACACTTTGGGTATAGTGGGTTAATTTAAAAGCAGAAGTAATTTTTAAAAACATTAAAAATAGATTTACTTTTCATTGCAAGCAAAAATATATTGTCATATTCACAATGACTATCAATCATTGATTCTGATACCATGAAGTATTAGATCTTTTCCTGCCTGACTCTTTACTGCAGTTTTTTTACATTCTCTTTTGTATGAACTTGGATCGTTAAGGAACAGATATGCAGAATGTATCTGACATTAAAATAAACTCGATCAAATAGAGTAAAATTATTGATTTTTCTGAACGAAAATAATATCCTGAGTAAATTATTATACATGTGTTCATTGCATTGATTTTAACTTATGTTCTAGTATTGAATGTATTATTCCTTAATTGTTTTGTTCAGTCTTTCGCCACTGTCCGTTCTTGAACCAATATGCCGAAGAAGTGGACAAACGTCTTGAAGACTGGAAGCAGTATAAAATGAGTGTACCAACTTATGGTGCTATTATTTTGGACCCGGAGATCAAATTTGTATGTTTAATTTCATTATATTTTGATTTATAGTTTGACTTTGTTTTTATATCTGAATTAATATTATATTTCTAATATATTTTGTTATAAAACAGACCAGCTTATCCATTAGAAGCATCTACTTAGTATAAAATGGAGTTTTTAAAAATACTGTATCTATGAAGTATGTAGGTGTGGTAAAGTGGAAAATAAAATCAACTTGCCAGATTCAAATTCTGGCTGAGTCTATTGTGTTCACTTCATCCTGATGCACTTGGGAAATACTTGAATCCATCTCTTCTTCCCTAAGTTGTGGGTAGTGAGTGCGAAACATTTGATTAATTTCTTGTATCAAGACCAGCTGGGATGAAATTCTGAATCTAGTATCACTAAGACAAAACAGATGTCCTAAAAAATGAAGGGAGAGAACTACGAGTATTAGGAACTTCAAGACTTTTGTTAAAAACTAAACTTTTTGTAAGATATTTTATATTTATTTACATCATATATAATCAAGAAGTAAAAAAAAAAACTAACACATCATTGAAGAACTCTGTAATAAATTTATTTTGACTGATAAATTTTTTAATATCTGCCTCATCACATTGAAATTACAAAATGGTTTAAATTTATCCAAGCAATTTATTAAAAATTATTTTAAAATTAAATCGCAAGAGAAAAGGATGTAAATGTCTAAATTACTTAAAATAGAAACATTTCCTGGGGATTTACATTATTGAATAGAGAGGAGTGAGGGGAAAGAAAATGGAGAAGAAGGGTGTCAGCACAATGAGCAGGGATAGGTGGGGAAGTACAAGTGACAGCTAGTGAAATACATTGAAATTAAATCAAAATTTATATCGTTGTCATCTAATCTACATAAATACAATAACAAATATCATATATGAAATGAAAAAAATAATATGAAAAACCTTAAATTCATTATATCTAATTCATCATCATAATTATAAAATACATCATATGTGTGGTATATACATATAAAAACATATACAAATATACACATCCATACAAAAACACAAGTAAACACCTGCAATGCATACATATGTACATACATACATGTACACATATCATCATCATCCTCTTGACTCTTGTAATTATAAGGGAGATCTGAATGCAGAAGGCACACTAAATCTCCTCCACAACTGTCTATCAACAGCAGCCATCAGCCATTCTGGTATAGCCATACCTGTCCAGTGACATTGTACAACCAGTTTTTACGTTGATTTCCTCTTCTACATCCACCTTCAATGGTGCCTTGCATGATGGTCTTGTACAAGCTGTTGTGCCTTGTAATGTGTCCAAACCACATCATTTTTCTATGTTTGACAGTGCCAAGAATAGGTTTGTGGTGGCTCACCAAACTTTCAACCCTTTTCTGTACACTCATTGGTTTTATTTTCCCAATAGATGTCAAGAAGTTTTCTTATGCATTTGTTCTCAAACTCTTTGATACTTCTCTCTGTTTCTGTCAACAGTGTCCACATTTGACATTCATATAGCGATTTGTACAGTCTGTACTTTGAAAGCTGATTTTGCTCCTCCATATTTGGGCATTGCTACCATGGCTGCAGCAATCCGTGTGTGGATTTCCAAGTTGCAGGTACCATCTTTAGACAAGATTGCTGCTAAGTATTTAAAACTGGACACTTCCTCCAGTGAATTCCCATGGTAATATTGACACAGGTGTTAATGTTTGTGCTATTCACCATTACTTTGGATTTCTTAGAGCTCACTTCCATTCCATATGCTCCTGCTTGTTCAAAAAGTTTGTTGGTCAAGTCCTGATATATACATATAAACACATACATAAACATACAAACACAATATAATGATATATATAGTGATGCTGATAGCTTTTTAATTTAATGAGTCCTTGGACCCACAGATTTGATTTGAATGGGTCCCCAAGAAATTCTATTGATCCAAACTATAGTTTCATAATCAATTGTATTGTTAATGTAAAGTATTTTCTTTTTTTTTTTTTTTTTTTTTTTTACCATCGTTCCTAAAAACAATTTTAATCGTTCTGAATCACTTAAATTGACAGGACAAAAGTTTTTTTTCTAAATTAAATTCTTACACTTAAAACAAAAACTTAATCACTTTTCAATTAAGAAATTATAATTTTTGAGACTTATGACAGAACATGTTTTTTTTTTTTTTTTTTTTTTAATTTGCCAGAACATTTTTATTTTTAATTAAATAAATTTAAAAAAAACAAAAAAAAACAGTATTTACATTTAAACACAGTTCAATTAAGAAACTATATTTTTTGAGGATTATAACAGAACAAGTTGTTTTTTTTTTTTTGTAAATTAATAAATTGGCTGTGTTGACTTTTATAAAAAAAAAAAACAAATTAGATTAGGTGAACTTTCCTCTAAAAAATGTAAGTAATCTTCCTTGAATCAGCTTAGAAATATGGGGCTAAAATTAATAAGTAATGTTCCCAACTTTCTGTAGGATACAAAATTCAAAGAAAATATTTTTTTGTAATAACATAAATAACACTGAAATAGCAAATAAAATGGGTGAGTATACGTCATGTGAACAAAATATTGCACAAATTCAACTAAAAACAAAATGTGCACTGTAGCACTAAAATAAATAAATAATGATTTTATTACATGAAGAAAATATTCTCATCACTTTGACAGTCTATAAACTGTCACCAAGATCTTTTAGTTTGAAAATAATCAATTAAATCAAATTTGATTTTAATTGATGAGAAAATTAACCAAGTCAATCACTGAAACATTTAGTACAACAATGATACTTAACAAAACAGTGAAAAGTATGCTGAGAAATATCAAATGATGCAGGTATGTTTGTGGTGTATTCTGAGCAGATTAATGTGAAGAGCATTTGTCAATAATTACTTGTAATCCATAGTGTACAGCTTTCTCTGCTTTACTCCTTTCCATTTGGCTAGTGTCTCTTCAAAAGGGAACTCTGACCTTTTGGGTCCCAGGTTGACCCTGCTCTTGATGTTCCAATGACAGCCTTTTCCAATGAAGATGAGGTTCTTAGCAGAGAACCATCATTCACAGCCAAGGTGGTGGCCAGTTGAGCAAGGATATTGAGGTTAGAAAAGTCTTTTAGGTGATATTTTATTACCAATACCCAAAGTTTCCACATGCTGTCTCTGGGGTAGAGCTGTGCTTTGACAACTTTCTTCAGCAGGTCCCACTCCAGTCGAGACTGAACAGCATTGTTGAAGGGCTGTGTAGTCATCTGGCGATCCTCTTTCCATTTGTGACTTTGTTGATGTCCATTGTGGGAAATTAGAATTTCTGTATGCTGCTGCTTTTTGTTGTAGAGGTAGAAGATCTGGGATTCCAATCTCTGTCAGAAAGTTGTGTACAGACTCAAACTTTGACAGGGGTACTCTCACTTGGGCAATCCATGAGTGGTTTTTAACAGCACTAGCACTACTTTATCCTGTTGACTGTCAAACTTCACCTTACTTAGTTCTAAGTTGTTTTGTAGAACAGGAATATTAAGGCAGGACTGATTCTCTTTGCATAAAACATGGTGAGTGAGGGTGGAATTTTGAAAGTTTTTGCATTTATTTGATTTGAGCAGAGATGTCCTTTTTTGGTTATGTATAGTACATATTTCATTTTTTTTGGGGGGGTGGAGATGAAGTTGATTCATCAGGTTCAGTAAAAGAGGAGACAGACATATGTATTGAGTTACTCTCAGAGGACTCGGCAGGCCTTGGGAGGGGTTTAGTGGTGGAAAACGCAGAAAATACAGCTGCAATAGTCTGCTGGCCAGCAATGGGTTTCAGATTTTTTTTTTCTTTGTGACATTCTTTTTTCTTTCTCACTGTTCACTTGGAGAATACAGGATCTCGTATGACGTATGCTCAGAATTGCGGTGTCATTCAAAGAAATTATATTGGAGCTAAATTTAAAATGCATAGTTTGGGATGAAAGAGTGAAATATTTTATAATGTAAAACAAAATTATTTAACTTATATTAGTAACCTCCACCATCACCACCATGTTTTCCCCTCTTGTTTCTCTCCAATTAGAATAACTTTAAGGAAATTGACACGTTGAGGGTAAGTCACAGAGAAAGAGGAAATAGAAAAAGAATACATGTTTATTCCTCCCTCCCAGTCAAACATTTCTACTGATGCGATCAACTTTGAAATGTACATTTCAATGTTCCTTCCAAGAAATGTTTAAGAAACCAAAGATACTCTAGGTACATGGTCAACATAGTTATTTTGTTGGTCAATCTTTAACTGTTATGAATTTATGAAGGAAGAAGAGCATGATAGTAATTCATTTTCCCTATCAATTGTTTAAAAGAAGAAAAAAAAGAGGATCATAATTGGATGGAAAATAAAATGGCCACACCATAACATAAACCATAACTTCAGTTAAAAACAGCAATGCCTAATTTATTTTAAAAATAAAAATTGCCTCTGAAATCTTAATTTTAGTTTTAACTTCAAGATAATATAAATTTAATAGTTCCAAAGATAAAAACATACTTTGAGCATATTTAAAGATGTAAATGAAATGAGACCGATATTGGAGCTTTGGGATCTTTTCTGTTAATAAACCCCCCCCCCCCCACCAAATAATGTAAATTTACTTATATTAATTCACCCCAATAAATTATAATTATGTACACCATTTTTAAAAATGACCAAAGAGGGTTCGATCTATATTAAATTAAAGTATGAAACTGCCCCCAGTCTGATAGTTTTTTAAATATTTATTTTTTTAGTCAGATAATCTAGTGCTTAATTGATAATATTCTGAAGAATTTCTTATTTACAAAAATTTGAGTCCTATCATTCTGCAAAAACTAAATTTAAACAATTTTTTATAACGTTTTTATATTAAAAATTGTTTTTAAAAATTACTTTGAAAACTTTTTAAGCATAAAGCAATAATTTATTAATTTAAAGTTTTAATATAAAACTACTTGATAAAAAATGTTTAAATTTAAAAAATAATTTAAATTTATTCATTATGAAGCCCAATTTTAAATTTCTGAAGAATAAATAAAGTTAAAAGTAAAATAAAACTAAAATTCATCAAATATTACAGGCAACTATAGATTAATTGTGACTTTTTTTTTTTTTTTTTTTCTGTGATTCTTTTCCTGTAACTTTATTATTACCGGCTACCAGGCATTTTATTTTGGGGTAAATTAACAGAAAAGATCAGTTTTATTTATTTTTGAATGTCTCTTCTAGGCTCTAAAAAAAAAAACATATGGTTTTTTACATATGATTATTTGAAGGAGTTGTTGGTATTCATGGCTTTAAATCCATCCCCAATAATGTTATTGGCAAGGTTTGTTTTCGATGGCTTGGGAATTAGTTCAAAGCAACTTATTTTTTCACTTAAACAACTCATTTCAACAAATTTCATTTCTTTGGTCCAATAGCTGGCTGTTTTTTTTTTTTTTTTTTTTTTTTTTTTTACATTTAATTATTTTAATTTTTTCTTCCAGGCACAAATTACGTCTATTTCTGAAGCTGTTAGGGGTTTACCTATAATCTTCCATTCTAGCTGTGGAGTGAAGTTTCTATCCTTTAATTCCCAGAAATGTTTAGAAAGAGCTGTTTGGTGTTTTAGATAAGAGTCAGAGAAAGAATTCTCGTGATTGCAGAATCTCTGCTTCTAGATCCCATTGGAAATTCTGATGTATACATTTTTATTATTTACGTTTTCTTTAGGGAAAATGGTTGCTTGGTATATAACATTTTCAGATTTTTATCTGCCTCCAACTGGGCAGTTGTTTTTGGTTCTACAATTACAAGAGGGTTTGCTATCTGGTTGGTAATTATTATAGAAAATTTTATTATGCGAATTAATATAGATGTTATTTGTGCAGGGGTAGCTAATTTTTAAGGGTTTCCTATTAAAAATTTGGCTTAGTGGGTTATTTTGGCTAAAATGTTTGTCAATGAAAGAAAGTATTGACCAATATTTTTTATATATTATATATATATATATATATATATATATATATATATATATATATATATAGGACATATATATATATATATATATATATATACATCTGTCCATATATATATATATATATCTAGGACATTCAAGTTCGATTCCCTTGGCTGATCATAGAGTTGATCGCATCATCCCAAGTTTTGTCTCGCCCCACATTGTGATTAATTGATCGCAAGACTTGTTTGGTCTGAAAGGTTGACTGGAATCAATGACTTGGTTTCGTCCAGTCAGAGTAAAGTCACACGAAAAAAGAATAAAAATGAATTGGGTAAAAGAAAAAAAGTATTTATATACACATCCTTGATGCAAAGTTGATGGTACAGTCATTGATGGCTTAAGCAGGCTATACTCACCATGCAATAACTATTAACGCTTCCCGATTATTGTGACACGCTGTTATGATTTGGGGATGAGGCTTCTGGAACAAGGCTTTAAGTCAGAGCCTTTATCTTCAGGCTGGCAAATCACATGAGATCAGGTGAAGTGGTGGTACTCTGCTCTCTCTGCCGTAGTCTGTTTGCAGTGTCTCTGTCTCTTTGCTATAATGTTTAGGCATTCTGTTTTTTGGACCCCTGCACAAAGGCTGGGGGGCACGTGATGTGCTCTGGGAATAGCTGCATTCACCAAATAACTAATCAGGGCTCTTCCTGCAAATATCTAAATATGGGGAAATCCTCCCTCCATGGAATTCTACTTGGGCCTCCTTTTGGTCACCTGATCAAATTTGTCTCCTTTCTACTTTGTGTGAATGCCTCTCACCATCACTGCCTGCAGGGTGTGGAAAGTCCTCCACCTTTCCCAAAAATTCCACCTGAGCCCTCTCCTCCTTGGTCACCAGACCAAACCCGTCCTCTAAGGGCTAGGTGTGGTCTAGCCCAACAGCCAAATTTTAATTATTGTTCAAAATTCTTTCTTATGCTTTTGTGTGTGGTTATTTTTGCATCTGGAATTTATCATTTTTATCCTATCGTCAACCCTTTAGTCAACAAGTGGCAAAAAAGTGACAATCCCTTGATTTTTGGGAAGTTTTATCACATTTCGGGATACAAAAAATTTAATTATCATTCTCTTATCTATTTTCTACTGGAAACCTGCCTGTTTCTAAAAGTTAATCCTTATCAATTGACAGAACTCGTGGCCAGAGGTCTATCTTCCTCTTTGTCACACAATGGTTGTAAAAATCTTATCTATTTCTTTCTGGGAGGTCCTTGGACTTCCAGAATAGCTTGTCACATAGTCTCCATTCTATTTAAAACCATATGGCCTCTTTGTTTTACCTCTCCGGCAGATGATAAATTTAATTACCTTCTTCTAGTTTTTTTTTCCAATAAAAAAATGTCCTTTTCTTTCATTTTTCTTTGTCTGGGCATCAGTATGTCTTCAGTCTACCGGAATTTATTCTTTTTCAGTCTTCTAGTTTTTTTCTCAATTAAAAACAAATGTCCATTTCTTTCATTTTCCTTCGTCTGGTCATTGGTATATCTTCAGTCTATTGAAATTTAGTGTTTTCAATGTACTAGTGCCTCTTCAATAGTGTCGCGCACACACACACACACACACACACACACACACACACATTATTTTTTTTGTTAAAAAAATACTATTTTTTTTCAGAACTGATGATTTTGAGGGATTTTTCCTTCATTAGTGAAAGTATCATAAGTTTTTCAATTATAAGTTTTAAGCAATTTATCAGGTGTCTTATATTTTTTCCATGCCTGTAGTTGAGTAGTTTGGGCTTTTTAGTGTTGGCTAAATTTAAAAACTTAATTCAAAACTTCAGAAGGCAGTACTGTCTGCTCAAAAAATGAGGAATTTTTGTGGGGAATAATTTTTGTAGATTATAGCATTCATTAGACCTTATACAAGATATGCCAATTACACTATAGAAAAATTACACTCTATTTGTTGATCTATTACATATATATGGAGTGGGTAATTGGTTCAGACACATTTTTAGCTGTTGGAAATATTTCTTATTTATATTATTAATCAAATACTATATTAAATCATTTTAAATCTACAATCCATAGTAATAATAAAACAGTTTTTATCAGCTTTGTTTAGGACAATCATTTTTAGCACATGCTTCATGTGTTACTGTTTGTTACTTTCACCATGAATATTGTTGGATGTAAACTTTGCAGTTTAAAGTTACAAATTTTGTACCAAATTATTCACTATTTAAAGTTGACAGTTTAATTTTTATGCCTGCCAAAAAAAAAAAATGCTATTACACAATTTTTTTTTTTTTTTTTTTTACCTTGGCAATGTTTGTTTTAAAAAGTGATTATTAGAATTTTAATTTTTAAATATATGAAAGTGGATTTATACATTTCTTATCAAGAATTGACAACAAAGATATTAAACACTATTTATTTATTTATTAGACTGTTTATTTACAAGATTATATAAATATTTGAGCTGAACATACTTTTAAGTGAGACCACAAACATTCAATATTTTGAGTTTCTTTCTCTTTATTTAGGGGATGGACAAAGTTTTCCTTGTGTTTAATTACACAATGTCTGCAATTTTTACTGCAAATATTTCACTATCGTTGATTAATATATTTTCATAATTTTGTAATTTTTTATAAATTTTTGGATAAAATGATTTCTTTTCAAATTTGTTTCTTTATAAAAGGTGAATAGTAAAAATCACATTGTACTTGGTTCATATATTTTTTATAATTTTATAAATAAACATTGCTGAGGGAGTAAAAAGAACAAAACACCAAAACAGTGTAATAGCAATGTGAAGTAAATAACTGTTCTTTTGATAGAACATTTTTGTGGGCACAACAGTTAAACATTGGCCACAAAATCAATATGGCATCATGTGGATAGAAATCCCATGCAATGGGAATCCATCTATTATAAAAACAATCACAATTTTCTCATTTTTGATTTCTGCTTTGCATATATTTTAACTTTTTTCTAATATATATATATATATTTTCTTTTTTTTAATATTAAATTTAGTGTTTGCTGGTTCAAGGCTATTGGGCCAAGTCAAGTTGGGGCTTTCCAAAAGGCAAGATCAATGAGGAGGAAACTGAACAAGAATGTGCTGTACGAGAGGTGCATTATTGATTCTTATATTCTTGATCACATTAAAATGAAATTATTTTACTAAAGAAAAATTAAATTCGATGTATGTTGTATTCTAAAGTTCTATGGAAATAAGTGGAAAAGTTTTCTGTCCATATTTCTAAGATGGGGTATTATGTACACTATTTACATCATTCGGACTATTGTCCTCATCTTTGTCGCCATGTTTATCACAATGTTTCGACATTCCAACCACCTTCCTCAGGTGGTTGGAATGTCGAAGTGAACCCTTTATTTTGCTCACTGGGGTAGACTGTGCTAGTTCCATGTGCCATGTCTAATGGATGTCAGTTATCTCCTGTTAATTCCCTTCTCCAAGTTCTCCACTGCCTTAACCAGGTATTGAACTCACACTCACTGTATTTAACTAATGCCTTTATCCACTGTACCTGTGCCCTTGAGGACATCTGTGTATGAATTTCTGGATAGTATAAACCTAATATCTTCAGCAACCATTTTTTACCAGAGCTCATATTGCAATTTTTGTTGTTATCGCTTTTCTCTGGCACTCCTTATTACTAGTTCCCATATTGTATTCATTTCTATGCTTGGTCAGCTCAGGAGATTTTTGTGGCCTAGCATATGTGCTGATTCCTTTACGATTTTTCCCATGATGTTCTTTGTCTATGATCTCAACTTGATCCCACAGAGAGCGGTGATCTCCCTTCTCTCTCCATATGTGGTCAGATTTTTCCACTTCCCCTCGTGTTACAACTTTCTGGTGTTCTTGAAGCCTTTCCTTAAGGAATTTATACACAGATGTCCTCAAGGACACATGGCACAGTGGGAAAAGGCATTAATTAGATCCAGTGACAGGACCCAAAGAGTGAGTTCAATACCTGGCGGTGGAGAACTTTGATAGGGGAATTAACAGGAAATAACTGACATCCATTAGAAACTTAAATGTGTGAAATGTTTGATTCAAATCCATAGTTTGTGAAATTGTAAAAGCAAAGCTGTTTTTATTTTTAGAGAAGGAAAAATTCATTTAAGACATTTTTTTTAGCAACCTTTTTTTTTTTTTTTTTTTTTAATTATGGGTTGTGGTTGGTTACTTTAATTCATCTTTTGATATCAGTCTCACAACAGCAATATACAGGGTTATTTAAAAAGAATGAACCGATTTCATTATGCAATGTTTTAATAAGGAAAAGCAATAGAATAACTCCAGCCAAGTCGCAAGTATTTACTCACAGTCAACTTTTATTTCCTATCTTACAAGTGTTCAATGTGGCCATGACCTGAAGCACAGGCAACATCAATGTGATCAGAGAATTCCTCCCAGGTGCATATCAGCATATCCCAATTCACTGAGTTTATCGCTGTTGTTATTCAATGTTTAAGGTCATTGAGGTTAATGGGTAGCAGTCGAACATAAATGTGATCTTTTACATATCCCCACAAGAAAAAATCACATGGTGAGGTGTAGGGATCTTGCAGGCCAAGCACAAAGAGCAATGTCTTGTTAAGTGGCTGAACGCAGCCTAGTCTGTAAGGTTTCAAATGTAGATGTCTTAGTACACACCAGATAGTGGATTGAGAGATTGCTAGCTCAATTTGTGGACTTATGCGGTTTCCCCCTAGATGCAGCACATATTCTTGGCATTTGTTCCTCCAAAACTCATGGTTGTCCTGGACTTTTTCCTTTACACAGACACCCACTCTCTTCAAACTGTTTAAACCACCATCTAATATCTTAGGTGAGGGTGGATTAATGCTGAATTGCCTTCAAAAAGCATGCTGCACCATGACAACTGCATTTGTTTTTGCGAATGAAGAACGCCTTTTGCTGAGAACTGCCATTCTGTGGGTAAACAAACAATTGAACGTTGCTGCAGATACAATGTGACTACAGCACTCCTGTGACAGCCATCCAAAACTTAGAAAATTCCTCTTTCAAATGGTCCCTGACTCATTCCATGATGATGCTTGAGAACTGAAGCAATGTATCATGAAAGAAGTTCATTCTTTTTTAATAACCCTGTATAGTGCATTGTACATGTTTAATTTTTTTACAATAAAAATACTGTACACTGCCAAATATGATAAATATTTAAGTTGTTTTCTTTAGGGTTGTGTTTACATGGTTTAAAATTCAGATCTTGCTGAGAGCCATTAGCTGCTATTCAACTTTCTGTTTTTGTTCTTTGAAAATTTGTATCAATAAAATTAGCAATCTTTACAGTATCAAAATGTTATAATTGCTAATAATAATTTTTGTTTTTTTCACAGCACCACTGAACTTATTATCCTGCTACTAAAATTAGGACCTCCTCAGAACATTTAGATTGCACATTATTTTCCATTCTTTTTCTCTAAATGTTTAGCCATACATAAAAAGATATTTATTTATAATCTGGTGGACACACTGCTCCCCATTCATTCTCTAAATTTTGCTACATGCCTCCTCTAGATTATTTTGCTTTTTTTTTCTTACTCTTCTATTTGATTACCTTTTGAAAATAAGAAATATATTGCTATGATTTCTAAGTTTATCTTAGAGTAAATCTTGTTCTTAATAAAATTAGTCTTCATTACCTTTGGCTTTGTTATTCCTACAATGGTGCCTAATGAAATTTATTTATTTTTAACATCAATACAACCATTATTGTTATCTTATAGGTATTTGAAGAAACTGGTTTTAATATTAGTGAGCTAATTAATGCCACTGACTATATTGAGAATCAAATGTATGATCAATTGACTCGGCTGTACATCATTGCTGGTGTCTCACTGGACACAAAATTTCAAACAAAAACAAGAAAAGAAATTAAGGTAAGTAGATTCTTCTTAGAGAAATTCTTGTTTTCCTTTCTCAGCATCTATAAAAGGTTTTCTTTGTATTGGTAAAATCTATGAAACTTTTTTAAATTTTTAATATTCTGTAGAAGACTGCAATTTTGATTCATTCTACTTAGCTTCTTTAAAAGTAACTTTCATTGGTATTGGGATGGCTATAAGGGTCCTAACTATTTTTGTATTATGTACAACATCAAAAGCTCCAGAGTAAAATGTATTAATAGAGAGAAGTACAACTAACCATATATACAATTATTATAAAAAAGAGATAAAACTTCCTGTATTTATTTTGCTTTTGTAAATCATTTTAGTGTATGCAGTGGTTTCCTGTAGATGCTCTGCCTGCTCACAAGAAGGACCAGACATGTCGAACTCAACTTAATATGAATTCCAATAACTTTTTCACTGTGATTCCTTTCATAAAGTAAGTTTTTATTACACAACTACCAGTCATATGTGATCAACATGATTAATCTAGTCTTGTATTGATGCTGTCGCTAGTTTGTCACATGTGATTAAAACTGTCATGAAAAAAGATTAGAAAATCTAACTAAATTTTTTTTACGAATGCACTATCCTTCTAGAGGTTTTAACTTTGCCACCTATTCTGTTTACATATACTGCACATCAGATTATTAGAAGAAAATGTATAAAATATTTTGGGGCATTAGAGAATTATCCAAAAGTGTAGGTTATCTAAGCAGTCAAGAATATTTGATTTCTTTCTATTTCAGGCCCTTGAGAAAGTGGATTGCTAATAAGAAACAACAAAATCATGATCTGAAGTCCCAGCTGGTTGGTAAAATTGATATGAGTGGAGTGATTGCTCCTGGTCCAGTAAATGGGAACTTGACTCCTGTAAATGGTCGACAACTTACAGATAAACAAAGACTAAAGCAGCAGCAGAGCTACAATCAACAAGTATTTGCTGATTTCCATGAGTATCAGAAGCTCAGAGATGGCAAGTCATCTTCATTGCTAGGTGTTTCCACTGGCAATGGATTTAAAGGCAGTGGCAACAAAATGCTGAACAATGGTTGTAACAGCAACAATAGTAGTGAAGTTGGCAGTCATCTTATAATGACTGATTCAAACAATAGTCATAAATTCCATAAGAATAGACATAGTGCATCTCCAAAGCAGAATTACAAAAAGATTTTAGTAAGTATATTATTTGAGCCTATTTACAGCATATATCAAATTTGATGACATTTCTTTTAATATTATCCTAAGTTTTCATACAGTTATAACATTTTTGCAGTTACTCAGTATTGATTAAATTCAACCCTGTTTTAGGTTCAAAATTAAATTGCATTTAATTGCTTTATTGCTTAAACACCTGATATCAATCAGTATTTATAGCTTACATAAAGAAGACTAATGAAAATGAACCTAATGTAATTGCTATTTATTTATATTTGGTTAGAACACACCTAAGGTTTTTCGGGAGGTGTCATTGGAATACTTGATTTTGTTTCACATGTCATAAATTTATGACATATATATATTCTGAAAGGTCATATTTTGATGCATCTTTCCTTATGTATGGGTTATGAATTTTTATGTTTTTACAGTGACATAAAATTGGAGGAAAATGATGTAAAGACAGCAAGAAAGATATGTACTATTTATGCAGATAGTGCCATAGCTGACTACTGTTTTTAAGTGGTATGTTAGATTCAGAAGTAGAAACTTTGATTCAGAAGAGGATAATATTCTGCAGTCATTGATGACCAAATCAAAACGCTGATTAAAAAATAATCCAGGTCACATGACATGAAACATCAAAGATAAGTATTTGAAACATTTGGGTGATTCACAATTTAAATGAAAAATTTTAATGGACTACATTTCCATCTGTGATTCTCGGCTGAAAAATAACAAAAATGGGTCTTTTTAAATGATCACTGGTGATGAAAAATGGATTGTTTACAACAATGTTGGGTCAAAAGAAGTCCTGTGCAAAATGAATCACTGTTAATTGCTTGCTGTAAAAACCAGTAAGCACCCGAAAAAGGTTATTCTGTGGGATTGCAAAAGCAATGTGTATTAGTCCCTTCCACAAAATGAGATATTGAATTAAGACAAGTACTGTTCTCAATTGGTGAAAAATGTCTTGAATTGGCCAATCAGAAAGGCAGTCATTCATCAGGCCAACACCAGACCACTTGTCTCTTTGAAGACCTGACATAAATTGGTACTGCTTGGCTGGTATGTCCTACTGCACCTGCCATACACTTGACCTTTGTACCTTTAGATTATCACTTATTTCAATCCCCAAAAATTCTAATTAATGGGAAGGATTTCAATTCTCTGGAATCCTGGAAAAAAAACAAAAAAAAACACGCTTAAACCAGTTGATCACCCAAAAAAATGCCTAGTTCTGGAATGATGGAATCATGAAGCTGTTTAACAAAATGGTAAAAGTTAGTGGAACAAAATGATGTGGTGGTTGAATAAAGCTAGGTACAAATATCTAAATAATGTTTTTGATTTCTTGTGAAAGATTGTTTACCTTTGCAATTTAATGTGACTAACATCATTTCTTTTTTATTAACTCATTGCTTTTCACAGATACTTATCTCACCAATCTAATCTAACTTTCCTGTGTGTTTTGAATAAATATTATAATTTTCATTGAAGTTCTATACAATTTCATTGGTCCTTATCATTTACAGTTTTAATAAGCTGAAAAACAATTTAAAATCTGAAAATCATATAATAATTTTTTCAATAATAAAGTGTTGGGTATACTGATAGTCTAAAAGTACAACATAATGGGCTTTGCACCTGGAAACCATTTATAACTTATCTGCTGTATAAAATGTATATATCATAAACTAAATCCTATATTAAAATTATCATAAAAATATGTTTTTGAATTGCCAACAAGAATTGAAGTTTATTTTAAAAATTAAAATATACTTTATTGATATAACAATATTTAGTTTCCTTTTTTATATATTAAAATCTTTTTCTGACTGTAAAAAAGAAGTCAAAGTTGGAGTCTTATTTTAATCTCCAATATTTTCAAATTTATAGTTAATGTCTATTCTTGTTTTTGTAATTGTATATTCTCTGACTGCATGTACCTTATATTTAAAGAAAAATAAGCTGTTTGACAAACTAAATACATTTCTGAAAGGTTGAAATTAAATATTAATAATTGTCAAGTATTGAGTTTTAAGAAAATTGATCTCAAAAAATTATCAAATTCCAAATTTTTATGTTTAAAATGCTTATCTTAGTCCTTTTGCTTATGAAATTAATCATCAATTTTATTTCAAAATCATTGTTATATAATCAAAACATTTCTGATTGGTCATATATACTTTTTAAAATAAGTTTTGTATAAATAAGCCAGTATTTACTAGTATTAAAAAAAATTATAATATACTATAAAATATTGGATTTCTCATATATATATATATATATATATATATATATATATATATATATGTGAAGTTTTTATTTCAGTCAAGTAATATATATAAGAATACTTTGAAATGATTACTATGTTTTCATTGAGTAAATAGGTCTGTTTATCTTTTATTTATTGTTTCATTTTAATTTTGCATATCAATTTTGTATTTAACATTTTCTTTTAATACAAATCTAATAGAGAACAATAAAACATTTACAATTATGAAAAGGAAAAATTAGTTATTTTTTTGATTGTTTATTAAGTCAGAAAAAAAATTGTCATCCACCAGTAGGCATTGCATTCTTAGAGTTTCTCTGTACTTAGTTTTATCATTAGTTGGAAAAATGTGTTGTATACTAAGTAACATGCTTTCTCGGTTTATATTAATTGTCATTTGATGACTGCATTCCACATCTTTGCAGAGATAAGACAGGAATGTCACTAAGCAAACAATAAAAAAATATTTTACTTTTTAAATTGAAATCATTTTACTTTCTATTAACAGTTACTGTTTCCATTGACAATATATTGATATTTAAGTATGTCTATCCATTGTAATATATTCTATTTAAATAACTACTGGACATGTTTTGTTAAAATGTTTTAATTCTTTTATTTCAGAGCAGAGACAAAATGAAAGAATCTGACTCCGGTATAACAATATTTACTTTCATTGTAAACATTTTTGGCATTTTATCACAACTTAATTATCCTCGGTTAGCAACCTGCAAATATCCATTTGAATTTGATATTACTTTAATCATCTAAATGAGTATGCTAAGTGAAGCATAATGAAATTAAAGACCTATTTCATAAATATGACTTTTTTCTGTGTTTTGAATAAATATAGATACTGGTTAATACTGGTTTAAAAATAAAAGGTCTTATTGAATTTTCTAAACATAACATTTAATTGATCCATTTAATGTAAAAAAAGTAGTACCTTCTAGATTGTGTCAAATCCTATTAAAAGTAAAGATTATTATTGTTATTGTTTTCATGAACCAAATAGTGTAATGAAATCCTCTTCAAGTAGAGTAAATTAATGTTTCATTATTTTACCAAAACAAATTTTACTAGCTTTGTGTCAGATTTTATCAGTATAATTTGTATAAATTTTAAAATTCTTACATTATAAATTTCAAACTTTTATGGACACTTTATATGTAGATTTTCAAGTGCAGTAAAACAATAATTTTGTCTTGCAATTATTTCATCAGCAATACGTTTTTGTGCAGATTTTATTTTACTTAAATCAATACATAAAAATACTTGAATGTTTTCATTAATTGATTTTATCTTTAACACTTTTTCTGAATTTTCCAGGCCTTCTGGGATTCTGCCTCCATGACTTGGAGCTGAACAAAGCAACAGCTTGGTCCAACTTCCGACTGAATTTGGAGGCCATTTGGACAGGGCTTCCATGATTTTTGTTTTCAGTGGAAAGTTAACATATCTCTGTATTACTGAGGAGTGTTCTAACAGAGGTACCAAATGTAAGCAAAAGAAAGAAGTTAGCATGCTAAGCAGAGAGTGAAAATGAATGAGCAAACAAATGCTCACTATGTCACTTGACAGTTGGATAGGTCTGAAGATGCTCTAATTTGGTGAGGTGGGTGAAAAATGTTGAAATTGCAAACAGTGATCTACTATAATGATGTATTACAAAATGTGTATGCCTGAGAAATACAGAGAGCTGCTGGTTTGTTCTCTGAAAGACAACTGAGCAAGCAAAAATGTTGATCAGTCAGTTATCTTTGGAAATTATTTTAGAACTTTAAATATTTAAAAAACAATATATGTAATAATCATTGATATCGCTTCAAGAAAAAGTAATTTGTTTAATATCTCTTATTTGTGGTAATTATTTTATTTTATTAAATCACATTAGTTAACATTTTTATTAATTAATCATAATTATTAATACATCAAAACTAACAAAAAAGTGATCTCTATATTGGCTAGTTTGTATAAAAATAGATAATGTTCTCAGGGTCAGTCAGAAATGTACTATTTTTTTAAGAAAAATATAAAAAAAGTAACTTGATATGTGTTTGTTAAAATGCTAATGTATGGTTTTTAGAATATGAAATTAGGTTAGAGTATATAGGTAAGATATGATACTGTCTCAGTTTGTTAAACATAAAAGTTGTGGCAAGTGAAGAGGAAACTCAAAAGCATTTATTTCATGTCACTTTTACTAAATATTGCTCAGATCATCCCTTAAAAATAGATTTTTAAATAAGCTTCATAAAATTGACTCATTCAAAATTAAAAACTGCTGTCTGATGAAAATATCAAGGTTGACTTAAATTAATCATTAAATGTTAATGTTTAATTTTATAATACTTGGAATGTAAATTTGGTTGACATATATCTTCCTTTCTTCTCTCCTATAGTTACATCAAGCTTTTTCTTCATTCTGTGTTTGTAAACCACAATGAAACTAACACATTCAAATAATTCAACTCTGTCACTTGACCAATGCTTGGTTTAATTTTGTCAACATCAATTTCTTTGTTGTATTTTATTAAGACTAATTCACATTTACTCCTGTCTTCCATATCCAACCATATGACTCTGCTTCTTTAAATTTAATGTTGCCATTTGAGAAAATTACAATATTCTTTCTCAATAGAAATTCTCACTAAATTCTACAGCTTAATGTTAGTAATATTGATAAAACAAATGTAGAATTTTCTTTTCTCATTTCAATATTATAGTTGTTTTAAGTAGAATTTTGTACTTGCTGTTTTAGCTTGGGACTTAATAGAGATGCTGGTGTATACACCATTTAGTTTTTCTTTACAATTTTGAAAATAATTTATAGAAATATTTTTCCTGGCACTCTCTTGAAAAACCAAATACTTAATATTCTGAGAGATGCATGATATTTTACAAAATAAAAAGACCTGTGCTCATCTTCATTTGTCCTGTTTAGCTTAGACATTTTTACAAGAAAAAAAACTTAAATGTATTTTCATATAAATGTGTCATTATTTTGTATTTGTGCTAATGTTATTTGTAAAATCTGAAAATGGTTTTTAATGTCAAAAAATGTTTTTAATATTTTATACATTCTTATCATATAATTAGGTACCTTATGTCATTACTGTAACATTTGCTCAAGTATAATAATTTTAAAATGTGCTACACTGTAAATTTCACTTATGTCAATTTTAATCAAGAATCATTTAATTACTCAAGAGTTCACTTTTATGAATTTTACACTAAAAATTCACTGCAATTTCTTCATCAAAGAGCACCTAAAGAAGGCAATTCAAGAATGAAAATAATTTTGTAATTCTTATTGAAATATAATTTAAAAAAGATGTTCTATTATACAATTAAATTTGTTGGACATAGTGTATAAATTTACTCTTTTTATTAATTACGATTTGAATGTGTTTTCAGTGTTACATTAAAAATATCCCCCCAACATACATACAAATGTTAAATTTGTACCAAGCTTTTATTGTTGATATTTGTGTTCATTATGTTTTCGTCTACATCTCTATACTATATTTGATTTGTATAAAAATTTTCATCTGTAAAGTATTTGCTGGATAGTCATTAGATCTAATTTAATCTTGCAAATAACCTAGTCCTATATTTTAATTATATAATTTGTCTTTATCTTTGATCTTTTCAGCTTGATTGTAAAACCCAAGTAATGATATACAAATAATAGTGATGCCTGATGACTGTTAATTTATTTTTTTTATTATTCCTGTCCTGATTACTTCCTATTGGAATGTAAGATAGAAACATTAAGTATTAAATCTGAAGGTTGCCCATAATTAACTAAAGTTTGAGATGCAACCTTCAAGAAGGGTAATTCTTGTTGACTGTCCAATACAGTTTGTCCAATTGTAAGCAGGTAATTTGAGATCTATATTTTTCCTACTCTTCATTGATTGTAAATTGTTTTTCCTTTTAAATGGTGAATTTAAAGGAACATATCATTCACAGAATATAAAATTATGCTTCATTTTTTGGTGGGAGATCTGACGATAATCTAAACCTTCACCATAACAATTTTTAATTCTATTTCTCTCCTATGGAGAGGTGAAATGTCTTACATTCTGGCCACAAGCAACGAATGAATTTAGAGAGGTTGCACTTATCACTGGTTGCAACTTAAATTTTCATCAAATGTAAAAATATTTGTGTAAATTTTCCTTTATTTTTACAAGTTTAATACAAAATTATTTTCAGAATTGATATAATTTCTTTACTTTTATATTTCTTACTGGTTACTTATCCAGAAAAAATATTTTAAGCTGTGCTTTCATTTTGCCATACTTCCATGTATTCCAATTTTAACTATTTTATTTCAAACATTTTTTTATGATTCTCAAATTTTTATTTGTGAAATTTATTCTGAAAACATCTCTGAAGATTTGAGTAATGCTAAAAATATTTTCTTCTAGTAAATTTTAGTTTTAAATTTCTTAATGGTTCATAATTCATGAAATACTATTTAGTAAATATTCTTATTTCTGATATGTGATTGAATAACATCGGTGGACTGTTGGGTTTTATTACTTGTTATACATCTTACAAAAGAATCAATTTCTGGGAGGCAATACAAAATGTGTGAGGAAGCATATATTCTGCATTTATTTGGACCAATATATTTACCACTTTTGTTCTCTGATCATTATCAAGAAATATGTAGCTAGTTCATTGTATCTGGTCTGCAACATGTCATTTGATCAGAAAAGCATACTGATAAAGATTTTGTGTTGGATACTAGTGCAAATAAACTTCTTAAAAATCAACATTAGCTATGAATACTTCTGGTCCTTATTTTGCACTAAAATGTCTTATTTATATAACTCAGTATGTTGACACCTATTTATTTGACTGGCTGGGTATGAATGAGGCAAATGACAGTGCTTGAGATATGTGCTGTTTCAAATGAATTGAAGTGGAGGAATTTGAATGCTGTATTTATATGTCAATAATTTATTGACTGCATGTTAAAATGATCACTTACAGAATAACATTATATGATCTTGATTTTTTTTTTCTTTTTTTTTTTTTTTTTCAAATCATGCTATGTTTCTTTCATTATTGTATTCTCAAGCATTTTAACATTATCATAATATTTTTGTGTATATATATATATATATATATATATATATATATATATATATAGTCATCCACAGACAGACTGTTTTGTTGTATCAAAGCTCATCAGTGTGGCTAGGCGTCCAGTTGCCTCTAGCTAGGATTGAAACCCGGCTGAATTTGCATCAGTCAGAATCTACCCCTAAGCCGTTGGCGCATGGCAGGGATGAAGGTGAATTTAAGTGTATTTATTTTTAGATAAACACACCAGTCACTGAGAGAACTCTATTTGTTTTATAGAAGGGTATTGCAGTAGTAGTCACTGTTTACAAACTCCCTTTCTCCTCCTTTATATATATATATAATGTGTGTCCATGTTTGTGTGGAAATTTTCTCAAGATGTTGAAAATGCTTGCAGTCCAAGGAATTCTTTTTTAATTTCATTTTATCCCTTTCACCTCAAGAAAACCCATCATCTGATGGGATGTCCATTAAGTGATTATTTAATATTACCAAAGCTATCTTGCCATTAATAGAAAAATGCTCATCTAGGATATAGCATGTGATTATTAAATTTAATTTTTGATAAAAAATAAATTCATAAAATTTAAAGACAGATGCTAAATGATTAGCCAGTTGTCATTATTTTCAGTAAACAAATGAGAATGGAATTTATAGTTATTATTTCTGGTTTGTATTTTGATTTGAAATTTTTAGCATGGTTCTTGGTTTTATTCCTTTTGTGGTTTATTGAATCATGGTTCCTTTCAGGCTAGATTCAGATTGTTTAAAATTGATTCTTGATTTCTTTATGAAAGAAATATTTCATCAAAATTAATTTAAATTCTTTTTCTATATCTTAAAATGGTTTTAATAACTTCTACCTTAACTGTTTCTTTGTTATTTTAAATATTGATTAAGTTTTCTTTTTTTTTCTGTTGGCTCATTTTGTAAGTAAAGATCATTGGTTCAACACCTTATCTTTGAATATTTATGGCTTCTTTCAGTTCATTTGTAAATACTTTTAATAAGCTTTGTCACATGCAGAAGCATTTACAACTGAATTGTTTTCTTGAAAAGCCATAAAATCTGTCATTGATTTATTAATAATGAAGCATATCTTTACAAATGGATTGAAAGTCTTAAGATTTTAATTTTGAAATCTGTAAGTTTGTAAATTTGGATAAAGAACTAAACAAAAGGAATAGGGATTTTACAGCAGTTAAATTTCCCCTGCTGACCAAACTGTTCAGACTTATAAGCATATCAAGAATTTTAATGAAGTTTAATGACTCTACTGAAACAAGATATTAAGTTTGTTGGATTTTCCAGTTAAAAATTTCCCAATATA